TATAATTATTATTATTATTTTTTTTTTTGGTACAGGGACCTTCCGGTTTTCGGATCCACAGGGGAACCGACTAATCCGGAATCGAGTCGGGTAGGACCAAAGCTCTTCCTCAAGAGTTTTAACACTGCTGCATTCACAGGCTATAAGTACATAATAAATGTACATAACACTCACGTGAGGTCCACTTGATTTTTTAATTTAATTTTGGTAGGTCCTATTACATGTGAATATTATGTACACCCCTATGTACAATATTATGTACTTATAGCATTACTCTTTTTTTTTTTTTCTTCTTAACTTCCAAACTATGCCGATTTTCTATTAAAATGTGTCATTTGAAAGCTTGGAAGACTAGTTTTCTAACGAAATAAATCTTATGAAAATTCAACAGTCCGATTTTGGTTAGTAGCCTAAAAAAAGCTAACAATTGATCAGTAGTTTTCTAACTACTGATCAAAATTCAACCGTTGGATTTTCATAACATTTATACATTAGAAAACTGGTCCTGCAAGCTTTCACATTACACCTCCCGATCGGAAATTGGATATTTTGATTATTTGAAAACTTGAATTGAATTTTTTTTCGTTACACGCGTGCTCCTATTATCTTCGTCGATCGATTACAGAAGTAGTGATTTTCAAAAGTCGACAAACTATATTTCATTTTGTTCGTCTCGTCATGGGCTATAAAAGCTCTAAATCAATTTAAAAAATCAAATTTAAAATTTATCGTTAATTGAGTTAAAAACTTTTTGTGTCATATTAGAGTTTTCAATCGAGGAGGCAAATTGTAAGTTTCGATTATTGTGAGAGGCAAATTGTCAAGAAAAAAATATTCGTAAGACAAACTCTAAAAATCAACATAGTTTGAGAAGTTAAAAAATTTATTTTATTTTATTATATTTCTTTTTTTATTTTTTTGTTTCTACATCATCTTTCTTCTTTCTTTTTACATATCAGCTAAAAGAATCATAAAATTAAACCCCACTTGGACTGTAGATTCCACCCTACCAAATGACCGGATTTTTCACCGTTGGATCGACACAAATATATGGTATATGTCTGTAAATTTATCTAATGGTAACAAATTCCGATCACATTTATGAAAGAAGTTTAAATTATTTTATACTAAATAAAACAAAACAGACAATTCCACTAAAAAAATAAAATAAAACAAAAATTCCAAACTCAAGAACAATTTAGTTTTACTTTGGAAATTAATAACAGGTCCTACAAAATAAGATAATTAGAGCTGCAAAGCTATGGAATGGGATAAACAGAAAACATACCTCCTCACATCAAAATTATATAATCAATTCGGTTTAAGAACGACATGCTGCAAGTAAAATAAACCAGAAAATTAACGATCATTCTCGGTTTTGTTTTGTTTTGTTTTGTTTTTTTTTTTCTTTAACGATGTGATGACAACAAAAAAGTGACATTGTTACCTTGATTTGTGCCCTGTTATATGTGTAAGTGATGTGAACTAATCCATCACTATCTTGAACAACAGCAGGATAAGAAAACTCCATTTCCTCAGTTTCCTCTAATGTGGCGACCTCACTCCAAGAATCACCGTCATCCTCAGAAACCGCGACTTTGAGCACGCCACGCGAGATTGTATTGTAAGCAAGTACCAAACGGCCATCGGCTAACTTGACCCCGTCAATTCCTATCATCATCATTTTCCAAGGCGAGCACATAATAATATGATCTCGTTTGATTTCTAAAGTTCTAATCTTTATTGTTTTTACTTCTCTTTTATGTAACAGATTCATCACAACCAAAAAGAAAAAGAAAAGGGAACCTGAATTTGGATTTGGTAGTTCGGTTGGCTTAGCGTATTCCCAGGTAAGGCCGCCATCTTTGGACTCTGACATGCAAACTCTTTTGATGTCATCAGAAGATCTCAAGAGAACACGCAAGTTACCTTTGGCAGTCTTGTAAGGAACAGGCTGGATAACACTCTGAGTTATGTTTGGAACGTATATAGGCCCGTATTTATTCCACGACTTGCCTGAATCCTTAGTTATCTGTCTTACAAATTAAGGGGGAAAAAAAAAAAACAACGTTAGCAACTATCGTTTTGAAGCTCTTTTCATAAAGAAGATAATGAGTTTATTAACCTCCATTCATGCACCCCAAGAATTCCAGCTCTCGACAGAAGATCCACAGAGCAAGCTCCCATTTTCTAACAAGATGGGCTGCACAAGAAAATCATTTGAGCTCTGTATTTTATGATTTATCTATGTGTTGATATATAATGTAGTATTAAATTTTTATATATACCTTGTTCTTTATCGGTCCCAGTATGCCGGGAGGAAGCTGTTCTCTCTTGGACCAAGTGGCCCCACCATCGTTAGATCGTTTCATACACCCACTCCATCTAAATTAATGACAAAGCAGCGAGCTCGAGTTTCAAATGAATTCTCCTAAAGAAAAAAAAAATATATATATAAGGTGATGGGTCAAATCAAAATACTTACTTTTGAACATCTAGACCAATTTTATAGAATATGAGCAACTCGTTCGAAGGATGTTTAAATAGCACCGGATTCCACATTGGAACTTTCGGTTCTTCGTCAACAATGGTTGGAGAGTCCCATTGGCCACCCTGCCATTCAGTTTTAGTATAATAAGCTTCAGACTAGCTGTTGTCGAATGAATTCATTATGTATATATGAGACATGTACAATGGATCACCTTGTAAGACTGTATCCAGATTTTCACGTCGGGTGCACCTTCTTGAGTACCGCCATAATAAGCGACCATGAAATGATCTTTATCAACCTAACAAAGAAAACCAAACTCGATAGTATTTTCTTTTAGGTGATGATAATAAAGGAAGGACAAAAACGATCGAGTTGCACCACCTCTACGATTGTCGAAGCATGACAACTGGTGATGGGGGCTGAGTTTGCAGGAAATGTGAACTCCTTGACACGCGGGACCCAAGGGGTGGAATCGTTTTTTTATCTCCGGTAATATTGCCGATTTTTCCATTATGCTCCTTGCCTCTCTGCACATAACTTCCCAGGTGGTTCAGGACTAATGCATAAATATCATGACCAATACAATACAAGAAATAAATTGGCTGAACAAAATATTGACTTCTTAAACTCAATAATCTATCTACATTATTCAAGCATCAAGCCTAAGCTTACTATCATACATATACAAGAACCATAAAACAAAAAGAAAAAAAAAAAATGCAGGAAAACAACTAACTACCTTCCAGGCAAGAAATGAATTGGCTCGACAGAATGTTGACTTCTTATTCTCGACAGTCTATCTATAAGATCGAATCTGCTTGTCGTATTAAACCAAGAAAGTGAAAAATGTAGCAGCATAGGAAGCATCAACAGGGACACAGCTAGCAGAAAACATAAACCAAACTTGGCCATCTTACAGTTAAAAGAAAAGATTGAATTTTTATCAAAACCTCAAACACTCCGAACTCGTGTTGTACACTTTGCCCGGCTAAGATGTGCACAAAAACGCGAACATAAATTGTTGACACAATAAAACACCAACTGCATGATGAGGTTGACGATGAAGGCATTAACATTATTACAGAAAATGCGAGCATTGACGATGAAGGGATTAACATTATTACAAAAAACACGAGCATTGACGATGAAGGGATTAACATTATTACAGAAAACGCGAGCATAAATTGTTGACTCAATAAAACGCCATCTGGCACGTGAAATGAGGAGGTTGACAATGAAGGGATTAAAATTAGGAAAATGTTACAATCCCGTTACTGAACCATTCCGTTGGGAATTTTAACTGTTAAATGCACATGCATCTAACTGTTAAAAATTCCGACGAGACCCGCAAGGCGTTAATTTTTTGGACGGTTAAACCTCAAAGCTCCGAACTCCTATTGAACACTTTGACTGGCGAAATGTGCGCAAAAAAGCGAGAATAAAGTGTTGACTCAATAAAACCCCAACTGGCACGTGAAATGAGGAAGTTGACGATGAAGGGATTAACATTATTACGAGGGCACGCGTAACGCGTTAATTTTTTGGGCGTTTGAACGTAGTATGGCGTTCATGGTTGTGGGCATCCTTAATGTTGCGGGCCCGCTTTAGTGTTGAAAGGGTTGAACGGCCCTTACTTTTATATTTTATATTTTTTGTTTTAAATTAATTGCTCAATCATATTATTATTCTTTTATGTATTAATTCATTATATATTTTATCTATATTAAACTTTCCAATATTGATAAATTCAAATTTTATCTATATCACAATTCATTCCCACTATGTATCAATAATTTACATTTTCTATCCATATTTCTTGCCGATAAATGCACCTCATTTTTTACACTTCTCTTGCACCAAAAAATTTAACTACGATAAAAAAATGAATTCGTATAATAGACAAATTTTCAAAATTTTTCTAAGTTCTGATTCTAGCAATCCAGATGAAATTACATTTTTTCAAAATTTACAAACTTCACCAAATTTACAATTTTAACAAGCTTCTTATCTTGTACAATTTTTCCCACAATTGCCCTCAAATTTTCCCTTTATTCAATAACAATACAAATTTATCTAAATTCCACTAATATTCAACATTTACAGTATTTTCCACAAGTTTTATTTTAAAACTCGCTGCCTGAATTTTGACAACATATAAGTAGTCAAAATTTGGTGTAATTTTCTCTGCAACAATCAAGTCAATATTTCGGATCACAAATGAAGAAAGAACCTTATACTCAAACTTACATATAAATGAATTATTTTTGTTATTTTTTGTATATGTTTATAAGATAAAATACTAGTATATAAATAATTAAAATTTATAAATTTATTATCCACCTCGTCAATTAATTCGATGACCCGAGGTCTGAACCACTAACCCGATAGCTAGCTCGAGTCGATTACGGATCGAGTTTCAAAATGTTAAGTGGCCGTCCCGTTTCCACCGATCGACTCATACGCAGCGGAAGCTTTTCTATTTAACTCGTCTGACCGCAATGCACGCTTTTGGGGCCTGCTAGAGTGCTGCTCTTCCTACAGGACTACCGAACAACCTTCTTCTAGGCCCGGGCTGGTCCCAGCTCCCCTTTAACAGCACCGTTTTTGCCCGTTTCAGCTACAAATCACAACACAAAGGAAATGTGATTAACAGCAAGCAAAAACAGAGAGAAGTGAGATCAGTTCTAATTAGGGCAAGAGTGAGGAGAGGGTATATATGGTGTGTAATGGAGGGCTGGGATTTAATCCCTAAATTCAAGGGTCCAAATTAATTCCTGCCATTTTGTATGTTAGAGGGCCAAGCCCATCGAGATTGGGCCGGGGCTTCCTTGGGCATGAGATAGAGATCTAAATTTTGGGCCAAATTCCCAACATTTCTCCACCGAATTTGGCCCACCACCGAATACCGAACACCTTGAGTGGCCGGAGAACTTTCATCATTGCCTAACGACGACACAAAACATTGTTATATATAAGTTTTAAAATAACAAGAAAAAAAAAAAAGGAAAAATAAAAATAAAGCATGACTAAAGAGTATGAGACAGTCGCACCGCATTACCACAATTTAGTTCACAAATTTTGATCGATTTATTTTCGCCAATCAAAAAACACAAAATAAATCAAACAAAAACAAACGATCGGCTTGTGATAATTTATAATTTATCTCACGGCTCACTAATCGAAAGACCAAATCCCAATTTCACTACCAGACTAGAAAATCACTTGTATAAACAATAGTTGAACATTTGACTTTCTCCGAGTTATACTAAAACAAAACAAAACAAAAAAAAAAAAAAATTGATACGATTCTAGAGATTTCACAAATATTCTTACTAAGAATTAAAATAAACCATACCATATCGTGCTGAATCGAATAATCGAATTACAACCATGTTCATAGATTTTATGACAAACCCTATATAATTTGAGTAATGTAAAATTACCTAATACATATTGTAATAATAATTAACTTCACCTAAATTATATAATTAATAATATTTGACCTACATTTTTTTTGAGTTAATTGCATAAAAAATTCCAACCTTTTGTTTAATTGCAAATAAAACTCAACCTTTTCAATTTGGCAAAAAAATACCAAATTTGTCTCGACCGCCGCCACCCGCCGCCGGCCAACTTCACCGGATATTAATTTTTTTTTTACATAATATTGTAGCTCTCCTCCGTGCCAACAACATATCCGAGTTTTACGAAAAAATTCCGACGACAAGGCTTCCAATTTCAGTCAAAGGTCGTAGAAAATTTGTAGATCTACGACCTTTGACCGGAAAATTGGAAGCCTTATCGTAGGATTTTTTTTGTTAAACTCGGATATGTTGTTGGTACGGAGGAGGGCTACAAGATCATGTAAAAATTTTCAATATCCAGCGAAGTTGGCCGGCGGCGGGTGGCGGAGGTCCGACGGGTGAGACAAAATTGCAGCACTTAATAAAAGTTTTGTATTTTTTTGTCAAATTGAAAAAGTTGAGTTTTATTTGCAATTAAACAAAATGTTGGGATTTTTTATGCAATTAACCTTTTTTTTTTTAGAAAAGAAACTATTGTATTACATTTGTTGAACTTTTCTTAGTCAATTCTTGGTAAAAAATGGTCAACATTAATTACATGTCATTTATAGTATATTTTTTATATCTTTTTAAATGTTGTCCTTACAATGAAGAGTTTGTTACTTTTTTTTTTTAAAAAAAAAAGATTGGGCTGCTATTTAAATTTAGTCTATTGAATATTTGTGATGGTTTGACACGATGTGCATATCAAAAGCCGATAATGCACGGATTAGAAATGCTCCCCTATTCACGGTGGGCAAATGTTAATTTGCCCACCGCATAGGTGACATTCATTCATTGGTGATGTTAATATGTTTAAAAAAATACATCACCAATGAGTTATATTGTTTACCCGTGATACTACTTTTACATGTTATAAAGTTATATTGTTTACTCGTGCATCGCACTAGTTAAAAAGGATTTAACAAAACAAGGTGAATATTATGGGCATACTATAAATGGATCTAACACTTTCTTCCCAGATGAAATAAATAAAAAAATGAAAAATACTTACAATGTGGGTATAAAAAAAAAAATCTCTAACTTTTTGTGCAAGATATCTAAGCATTACACAGACAGGACATGTTAGTACTTTTATAATATAAGAATATAACTATATATTTATATTATAAAATATCATACTTTTATTTACATTATTATTTGTTGAAATTTTAGTTTAAAATTTTACATAAAACTGAATATTATGGCTCTAAATTATAACAATCACACAAAATTAATTTCAAATCTAGCAAGGCAACAGTTTGCAAACACCAAAACAATTCTTCAAATATTGTATAAAGTCCAAACACATTTATGAAATACTAAGATTGATAGCATTCAATCACACATTAAAATGAAAGTAATGCATTAAAATACTCAAATATAAACAAATACATTGAAAATCAGAATTGCACATTTATTTATCTCGCGTTGGTAGAAAATAGGGGTAAAAAAAAAAGAATCATTTATTTATTTAAAAAAACAAAAAAATGAGTGGAATAAAATAAAACAAAAAAAAAATTGTGGAAAAAAATCAAACGGACGGATTCTCACAATCCGTGTTTAACAGAAACACGGATTCTGCGAATCCGTGTAACTGTAATTTTAGAACGAACACGGAT